CATCGACTAGATCTACTCCGCGTGGGCGTGAGGTTGGGGGGTGGGGGGGCGAGGGCCCGCGCCGATCGGCAAAACAACGGATAAGAAAACGACGACCTGTAGCCGACTTGCATGGGCGGGCGCTCTCGCAAAGCCCGGCCGCCGCGGCGGGGCTCGCCGAAACCCTTCCTCTCCGCGCAGACTTCGCGCCGAGAGGCCGCCCGCTGGCGCGCGTTCCCTCGGCCGCGCGGCCCGGGTCGCCCTGGCGCCCGCTGGCTTACAAGCTCTCTCTCTCTCTCTCTCTCTCTTTATGTCCTTCTTCCTCTCTCTCTCTCTCTTGTTTGTTCTCTCTCTCTCTCTCTCTATCTCGCCTCTCCCTCCACGCGCCTCCCTTCCTGCTCCTGCTCCTCCTCCTCCTCCTCCTCTTCGTCTTTGTTTTGCTAATCGTATGCTTACTATTATTATTCGTATTGTTCATAGTAAGATTAATATTATGATTGCGAGTATTCGTATTATAATTGTTACTATTACCAGTGTGATTAGTATTAGTATTATTCGTATAATCATTCGTATTACTATTTTTTCTTATTAGTTTGCTTATTCTTCTTCCTATAAACGGTTTTCTTACTATCATTGTTAAAATTCCTCCTCCTCCTCTGTTTCTTCCTCCTCCTTTTCATCCTCCTTTTCCTCCTCCTCCTCCTCCTCATTATCCTCCTCCTACTCCTCCGCGCACCTCCTCCTCCTCCTCTTCCTCCTCCTCCTCCTCCTCCACCTCCTCCTCCTCATCCTCTTCCGCCTTCTTCTCCCCCTCCTGCGCTTCCTCCTCGTCCGCCACTTCTTCCTCCTCCTCCTCCTCCTCCTCCTCCTCTTCCTCGCCCGCAGCGAACTGACACATCCGAACAGGCCGGCTGAAAAGTTCCTGACCAGGAGCCGCAACGCTGCACGAGCTTAATGATGCGCAAACAGAGAGAGAGAGAGAGAGAGAGAAACAACAAAAAGAGAGAGGGAGAGAGATAGAGAGCGAGAGAGTTGGAGAGAACAACACAAACATGGAGAGAGAGAGAGAGAGAGAGAACAAAACAAACATGAGCAAGAGAAAGACGGAACAAGAGGGAGGGAGAGAGAGAGAGAGGGAGAAGAAATTTGCCCAACCCAGCACCTGCTGCGACTGCTGGCCGCGCCACAGCCGATGGAGGGGAAGGGGGGGGGGCCCAAACATGCTGACCCCACCTATCTCGTCACCTGCTCCTCTCCTTGATGGCTCCCCTGTGCAGCTCTGGCCCCAGGGTGGGCCTCAAAACGCGGCTGCTGGGATGGGCGATGGGAGGGCCCTCGTGCTCCTCCTCCAGCGCACCAAGCAACAACCCAACACACACGCCACACAACCACGCGTGAGAATCGAAATCCTCCGCTCCCCCTCCCCCCCTCCCAGGAAGCCCGCTCTGCCGAGGGAGCGTGACTTGCACTCGCAGAGTGGCGAGGCGGAAGGGCTGGGGAGGACTGAGGGGGAGGATTGTCACGACGGCTGCCGCCGTTACGACAAGGGGCTTCGGGGCTTGGCCAAGATGCCGCGGCGCCCTAGGTTATGGATGTCGGATGTTCCTTCGGCAACACCAGCTATCCTCATTCCCCCACCCGCCGTGGCACGCCCCCCTGTCCTTATTTGTCGGCAGGTGCAGCAGCGATGGACCCGAAGAAGTGCTGAGGGGCAGAGGCGGGGAGGGGGATTCCATGAAATGGGTGAAGGAGGGGACGCGAAGGGGGAATGGGCGAGGGAGGCACTGTACTGGGCTAAAGACCCCTGCGTCGTTTACAAAAGGAATAACCTCGCGCCTGCCTATTGCATGCCTCGCTCGCTGTCCCACCCCCTATCGACCCAGGCTTCTGGATGAGAGAAAAAAAAAACAGAAAAAGACATGTATCATGGACCCAGCTCCCACAGGAATTACAAGTGCATACTGTTCTGCCTGGTGCACGTTTGACCCCCCACACATGTAACACTTCGCCTTCGCAACAACACGTGCGGGCAAGAATCGAGACACTATGTTGCAGACACTGTGGCAACACACACGCACACACATATGATAGGATCCTGGGCCAGCTGCGCCTCCCGCATGGAACGAATACCTGGCTCAATCGTGATGTCATCGATGTCGATGTGGCATGTCGTTTCGATCGGGCCCAATGTGCGGGTTGTAGGCGTGGTGTCCCGCTCGATGTCCTTTGTTAGCGGCGTCACGTCGAGGAGCTGTAGAACTTTCGCCAAAATGCTGCAATAGGTGCCCGGTAAAGGTTTGCATTCGGTGGAGCAGTAGTTCTCCTCAAACTCTCTGTGCACCAAGCCATTCATTCTGTCGACCCCGTCTTGATCGTCGAGAGATTTCTCGTCGAAGGCCTGGGACACCGCATGGGCCTCCTTCTTCGGCTCGGCGCACTTCTTTTCAGCGGACACGTTCGGGGTACCGTTGACATCAAAGTCCTCTTTGCCCTCCTCCTTCTCAAATGTGGAATGGCCCAAGGTTTGAAAAACTAGCTCGTCGGAGGTGTTCTCCTCTGCTTTGGCGGAACTAGCTGAATTCGCAGCCGTGGAGAAGCCACACTGCGTTTCAAGGTGCGTTGAGAACCCATTCAAATTAAGAATACCGCCTCGAACGCCCATGATAATGGATCTTATGTCCCTGATGGCCTCCAGGACGAGTTCGGGATGCTCTTGACCAAGAATATAATCCTGCCTCCCACTTAACTGCTCAAACCTCTCCTCCCCAGAGCCTTTGGCGGACGAGATGTATGTCAAAGTGCTCCGCGCCCGTCAAGCTCGGGGTTGGTTGCTCATCTGCGCCTTCAGCTGGCAGCCCTCCCCCGCCACCGACATAGCCAAGAGAGAAAAGCACGTGTGCCAAAGTGCTGCCCATATCTGAAGACGTGAAGTGCCTGTAAGCGTCCGCACCATCGCTGATATGTTGGAGATCTCGCAAAAGCACGGGCTGCTTAGAGAAATGATGCCGCACCTGTTTCGTCCGCAGCGTTGTGCCAAGGGACTTGCGAACCTTCCCTTCGATCTTCACGTGTTTGTCGGTGGGCGTGGGAACCTGCAGAGCGGCCACAGCAATTGCCAGGGCCAGGTCGCCCCGCGGCACTCCGCCAAAGATCCCAAATGAATTGGTTCCTTCTTCGAGCTCAGCTTCTTCGTGCTTCCGAGGAACATGAGGCAAGTCCACTGCCCTCTGCTAGTTCAGGTATCCCGTCAGCTCGCCGCCTCGGCCACCGTGCCGACGTGAGAAACAGTGAGCCCATGGCGGACAGCGATGCAGAAACCTCGTTGCACACGTTTCGACCCCGACATGACTCGAGGAAGGATGCGACCAAAGTGCAACACGAAATCCCCCTGCCAGCGGTATCAGGCCGCCAACAAACTTTGGGACGACCAGGGAATGAGCAGAGAGGGGCTGCTCACCTGCAGGCGAATGCAGGCGCCGCAAAGGAGCTCCCTGGGGCGAACCAGGGACTCCAACCTCAGAAGCCGCTTGAGCCCAAATGGCTAAGAGTTCCTCCTCCTCCTCCTCCTCCTCCTCCTCCTCCTCTCCTTCTCCTCCTCCTCCTCCTCCTCCTCCTCCCTCCCTTCTCCTCCTGCTCCTCCCCCCCCCTCCTCCTCCCCTCTTCCTCCTCCTCCTTCCCCTCCTCCTCCTCCTCCTCCTCCTCCTCCTCCTCCTCCTCCTCCTCCGCCTCCTCTCCAACCCTCCTCCTCCTCCTCCCGCAAGCATCGGCTCGAGGCTCTCCGTTGCATGTTGGCTCCCTGGCGAGCTCAGAGTCGTGCCCGACGCCACAACGTGGCGCTTGGGTGGCACCCCGTCTTCACATGTTTTATTGGGTTGCCGATCGCGGTGGCGAAGTCGGACAAAGAGTTGAGCAGGGCTCGGCATCTTTTTCGTGATCTACTTGCGGGAGATAGGTCTGGTCAGGTCCATCTTGGGCTGGGTCTTCCCCTGTCTTCGGCTGGTTCCTGAACCTTTGGCACATGTCTTACCGCACGTGCTCATCAAATTTCCTGTGGGCTCCAGCAACAGGTACCTGGTTATTGGCTGAGCCTGGCCAGCGCAAGGCAAATGCTTTTTTGTGTCGGCTGAGCCTGGCCAGCGCAAGGCATATGTTCTGGGCTATTCGTGGTTGGAGCTTTCTTTTGCAGTTCTTATTGTTCAAGGTTGGGCTGTGGGCAGGTTTGGAGGAATGAGGTTGCGCATTTGGTAGTGGGTATGTGTTGTTCCTTAGTCTGGCTGTTGGTGAGGCAATTCGTGGAGGAAGCGAGCTCAGTACCCGTGCAGCTTACGAGCTTGTTCGGTTAAAAGTTTGCCCAGTGACCTGTGGTGGGCTTCGTCATGGACAGGGCCGTATCGAGTTGAATTCATATCTCCTTGTCTGGCTGTCATTGTTGTGTGCAATGTGGTATTCACTCTCTGTGTGCGACGAGGGATTCAACAGAGGTGTGCGCGGCTGTGGTCGTTCTCCTCCGGCTCCTGTTTTTCCTATCCTTTGTCTTCTGGTTCGGCTACTTCTCGTTCGAGTTCAGAGGGCGACCTGAGGATTCAGAATCATCCTCCTCCTCCCCGTCCTCCTCCACCTCCTCCTTCTCTTCCACACACCTTCTCCTCCTCCTCCTCCTCCTCCTCCTCCTCCTCCAGTTCCACTCCAATTTCTGGTGCTGCTGCTGCTGTTCTTCCTCGTCCTCCTCCTTCTCCTGATATTTTTTATCCTGCTCGCCCTCCTCCTCATCTGCCACCTCCTCCTCCTATCGTGCAAGCAGCTCCCCTGTTCCGATGGAGGATGACAGGGTGGGGTCTTCTCGGGAGTTCCAGGTCTGCTATGACACGCGCCCGTGGGCAGAGAAACAACTCGGCGCCGTGGGAAAGGATGGGTGGGAGGGGTAGGATGTCAAATATCGCGCGATCGCACCCAGCTTGCCTGCCCTTCCCCCATCCCTCCTTCTGCTCCTCCTGCCCCCCCGATGAGCTGCGGCGGGCCGGTCAGTCAGCATCGTTGTCGTACTCGACGTGCTTGTGGCGCGACCGCAGGCTCCGGAACTGCCGCGCGGGCGAGGGCGCGCGGGATCGAGTGAGGGGGAGAGGGTGGCGTGGAGAGGGAGGAGAGAGGGATCCCTGGGTGAAGAAGGTACGAATGAGGAGGACAACCCAGCACAGCATCGTTTCGTCCGGCTCACTACTTAGGCTCAATCTTGGGCTCTATCAGGCTTGATCGGACATGGTAGCCGTTTCACGGACACCAGTAGGTCTTAGCCGATCTCATCAAGACCTCCCAGGTCCTCGATCTTCGATCGTCGATCGTGGAGCAGATTGAGACCACTCTCATGGGGATCGACACGGGAGCGAATCTCTTGAATCGGCGCTGCCTCCTCCTCCTCTGCGCGCCAGAGGCGGTGCCTTAGGAGGCACGATTCGGACCACGTGTGATAGAGGCCCTGGGGTCAACCCGTATCACAAGGATGCGCGGCAAGGATACAAAGGGCCTTGGAGAGCCATGTGAACGTTTTGCGGACGAGGTTGGCCAGCGAACGTCGCTAACGATGGGCCGAAGGGGCAGGGATGCCAGGGTACCCTTAGGAAGGTTGCCCATCCTTACTGTGCGGGTTAACAGTACGTATGGAAAGGAAAAGGAGGAGGAGAAGGAGGAGGAGGAGGAGGAGGAGGAAGAGGAGGAGGGAGGCGGCACGATGCTGACCACGTGTGGTAGAGGCCCCAGGGCATCAACCCGCACTGCCCTCGGCCTAGCCGGCCGGAACAACGGCTGAATTGGAGGAGCGGTTGCCTGTGCCCCCCAGGGTACGCAGGGCCCTCCTGCCTCCTGCCTGCGGCACGCTGTGACCTTGATGGGCATGTTTTCCACCACCACCACCACCACCATCAGTTGGTGGGGGGAAGGAGGTGGAGGATGAGGATGAGGAGGAGGAGGAGGAGGAGGAGGAAGAAGAAGAAGAAGAGGGGGAGGAGGACCCCCCCTTCAACTTATGGTGGTGGTGGTGGACAACAAGCCCATCAGACCCATCTTGCCACGACGGAGCGGAGCAACGAGGCCATCAAGGCTCGGACGACATGGCTGACAAACTGTGCGGCGGAGAGCGAGGCAGACAGGAGCCTCGCAGCTGTTCCAGAGGTGCCCACGGATCCAAGCGGCGAACGCACGGGCTCCGTGGCCAGCAGAGCCTCTCCTGAAGACGAGGACACGGCATCCACATAAACTTTCGGCGGCTCGCGCGCCTTTCTCGCATCGGCGCTGGACCCCCTCCCCGGCGCGGAGGGCCCCAGGGGCGGCGCCGGAGGCGCGGCCAGGGGGGGCCAGCGCGGAGCGGAGCTCCGAATGATTATCTGCAGCTGCTGCAGTTTCGGACGTCTGCACGGGTTTCTTGACTCAGGGCCGGGCCCCTCTCACCGATTATCTCGTCCTGGGCGCACGGAGTGCGGAATGGAGGGCGGCGGCGGCGCCCATAAGGGGGAGGCGGGGAGGGGGAGTCAGCGCAAGCCGAGGAGCCGAGCGGAGTTTCTGCAGCTGTTTCTTCTTCTGCTTCCGCCGCGAAGGGCGCGGAAGCCCCCTCCGCACGGGAGGGGAGGTCCTGCCCCGCGGGGTGCCGCGCGGACGCCCGCGGAGGGGGGCCCACGCCGCAAGCCCGTGGGCCGAGGCAGGGTGCGTTTGGCACGGAACAGGTCGGCGCGGATCCGAATTCCTCATGGCCCGCCCGATATTCTAGCCGTCCATGGAGCGGCACAGATACTGCTTGTGCCCGGACACAGACTTGTCCACGCCCCAAACAATATCTGGCAGGCGCGCCCCAATAAAGACTGCCCATGGCCCGAAAATGATGGCCAGGCGAAAAAACATGTGCATGGCCGACAGATCATGTCCGTGCCTAAGGTAAGTACTGTCCACACCTGGAAAATATCTGGCGCGCGCAGCCTAACAAAGATTGCCCATGCCAGAAAATCCATGCCCAGAAACATACTGTCCCAGAAAAGGTCACCCATGCCAAAGAGAATCTTATCAACGAACTCGAAGGCCCTGCGCGACAGAAAGATGGGCCCAGCCGCGCGGAAAAATGGGCGCGCCCGAAAAATGGCCAATCCACGGCGAATCGGGCATCGCCCAGACAATGTTGGGCCCGCCCGATAGTGCGGAAAGCAAGCTTGGAAACAACATAGGGTCTGCCATGCCCAATATTTTGTTGGGCGCGTGGGCCTTCATCCGGCGCCAGCACGAGCGGTCGCGGGGGTCCGCGTGAGGGCCGGGTTGCTGCGGGGCTTGGGCCTGCGCGGCCCGGCGGGGCGGGCGGCTGGCTCCCAGGCGGGTTTCTCCGGTGGCCCCCGCTGGTGAATCGGCATTTCTTCTGGTGGGCCGCCGACGGGCTGCCTGCTGGGGCGTCGGGGCGGCAAGGCCGGGTTCCGCGGTGACCTCCTTCGGGGGCGCCCCGAGAGCAGCGCGCGCGCTCGCGTGGCCGCCGTGCTGGGAGTTCTCTTAGTACTCTCCCGTGGGCCTTCGGGGGTCTACGGCGCGCCGGTCGGGCGCGCCCCGGGGCCCTGCGAGGACCTATTTGTGGAAGCTGAATCTCTGCAGCGACCCAAGACGAGCCCCTGATGGGGCTTCTAAGATGGCCCAACGAAGCGTTGCAGGGGCTTCTTGGATGCCTCGCCATCCCTCCTCTACGCCCTCCTTTATCATGCTCCTTGGGCTCTACTTCGATTGCGGCGGGCCCATGATTCGGGTGTTGCTAGAAGTGCCCCTGGCCCAAGGTGCCCCCAGGATTTCCAAGGAGGCCCCCACGGCCTCCAGAGCACCCCTCCCGACCGAGGCCCAGAGGGCCCCAGGGGCTCCAAAATGATGCGAAAACCTGGGGGCACCTCGGGCCAGGGGCACCTTCAGCAACCCCCGAATGATTGCATCGACGCAACTACGTTCTGGCCATGCATTTGCTTGCCGAGTGATGCGCGCGCATTCTCTGGTATTGCTCTTCCTGCCCAATCGGCATTTCACTGTTGCGTACAATTTCGGGCGCGCTCGACATGTGCCTAAGCCCTCTCAGTCGCCCGACTTCCACGCACAACCTGATCTAATTATACCTAGCCGCTTCGCCAAACCATCGGGCATGAGGCGGGGTCATAAGGCAAACAAGAAGGTGCCCGGGACAGCCCGCGCGCGCTCGCGGGGGAAGCGTCCGGAAGCGTCGCCGCCAGCAACAGTTCGGCCAGTCGCGCCGTCAAGGCACCCCGCACCTTGGCCCACACCTGCCGCGCGAAATTCGTGCCGAGGCGGCCGAGAGGCCCGCGTGGGAGGACCGCGGTGCGCCGCGTAGCGGTGGCGACCTCCGCCGCGAAACGCTGCGCGGCAGGGCCGAACGGGACGTCGGTCTCCACCGCGAGGGCCACGACCGCGTCGCAACACCGAACCTCCTTGCGCCGCTCCGCGCCAATGGCCGCGTGGCTGGCTGCGCGGGCCGCTGGGCCCGACTCTCCAGGCGAGCGGGCGGCTGCGCTCGCCCGGGTCGGCATGTGCAGGCCCAGCTGGCTCACGACGAGGTCGAGCCACGCCTCGGTGATCTCGTCGGCAGCCTCCTGGTGCAGCTCGAGGACGCAGCGCTTCACGTCAGCGCGCCCACTGCGGGCGGAGATCCGTTTTGCCAGAGCACGGGCGATCTCGCTGCGCAGCCGGATGTGTTGCGGCCCCCTTGGGCATTGGAGCGCATGGAAATCGCGACTTGCAAGGGCCGGCCGCGCGCGCCCTGACGCTCCTCGCCGCCGCCTCCGGCTTTGCCAGAAAACTGGAAGGCGCGCGTGGCCTCGCCTCCTGGCAAATCCAGCACGAGACGGCTCCGGAACATGACCGCGATGCAGACTTCGTGAAGCGCGAGCTCGCGCTGGCGTTGGCGCCAAGGCCTCCGCCCGACAGCAGCCGCGCATAGCTCGCCGCGGGCAAGTGGGGCCAAAGGAGGGTGGCCGTGAGGGCGGCGAGGCCGCGGTACGCCCTGGCGGCGAGGACGTAGCCGGCAAGCCTGCGCGCCCTCGCATTGCTGGCCCGCCCGCGCGAGCGGCATGTGGCCTCGGCGTGGAGGTCGAAAACCGCCTGGGTCGGAAGCTTGGTCGCCTGGGGGCCAGCCTCAGACTCTAGGGAAACGAAGAATGACATAAACATGACAACTCGGAGGTCCGCACAAATTTCTCGGATCCGCGCTGGACCCCCCTGGCGGCGCCTCCGGCGCCGCCCCTGCCGCGCTCCGCGCGCCAGGCAAGGGGGTCCCGCGCTGATCCGATAAATCCGCGCGGACCTCCGATTGTTGTGTTTATGTCACTTTCGTTCCCCAATACTCGAGCCAGGCCTCCGCCGTGAACTCCATGCACCCCTGGGGGCTGCCTGCGACAGTCACCTCGTGTCGAGCGCGGGCAGCCACGGGCGCGTCGAGACAAAGACCCGCGGCCGAGCGGCCGAGGCGAGCGGCCACCGCAATCGCTTCGGCCTCGACCGAGACGCGGCGCGCCCAGAACGCCACCCGCGCGTGCTGGAGATCTGCCGGCGGAGTGCACGGCGGCGACGGCGGCGTGGTCTGGGCTGTGAGGCCGCGCGGCAAGGGCCTCCCCGACCCCGTGAACTGCCGCCGAAGCGCGCCGCAGGGCTGACTTTCACGCGCACGGAGGCCACACACACACGCACACGCACACACGCGTGGTGTCAAAACCCAGCCGTCTCGCGACGCTCCTCGCCAGCAGCGTGCGCGCAGCATGGCAAGTGGGCGGATCCGTGCCGCACCGCACCATGTCCAGCAAGGCCGTGCAGGCCTCTACCTCCTCCGCGCACGCCAGCAGGGCCGTCCTCCCCGACATCGCAGCTATAGTCAGGAGAGACAGGAGTACCACTACCACAAGCCGAGGGGGTGGCCGCCCCCTCCCCTCGAGCTGGTTGAACCTCCTTCCAGGAACTCTCCGGAGGCATGCCCCGAACGAGGTGCCACCAGCTCGAAAGGGTGGGACAGCCACCCCCCTAGGTAGAGGTACTTTGTCTCTGGTGATACAGGGCGGACGCGCGTGACGCCCAAAGCCGATCTCGGCGCTCCCAGGCCCGCGAAGGAACCGGAGACGAGCGCGGCGAGCTGCTCGGCATGCCTGCTGGGGGGGCTCCAGGCCCGCGTCGACGGCAGGGAAGACTGCGGCGCACCTGGACGGGGCCAGGCGCTGGCTTTAGGTCGGGCATGCCCTCCTACGGGCAGATTGTGGGCGACAAACAATTACAAAATAAAAAAAAAAATCAAAGATATTCGAAAATAGTTTTAAAATTGTTCCCTGTTTTTTTTCATTCTTTTTGAAGATTCTTCCTGTAGAGGGACAGGCCCGACTTTACGCTGGCTCTCAGCAGCGAGTCGGGGCTGCACGTCGCCCAGGAGGCGCGCGCGGCGGCAGCTGCCGACGGCGCGAGCCACCCGTCGCGTTGTCGATGCCCGCGGTGGCCGGCCCGGCCCCCTGCGCCGCTTTTCCGCTCCCACGTCGAAGGCAACATTCTATGCGCACGCACAGCCATCTATCGGCCGCACGCAAGAGTTGTGGATGCCATGGCAGTGGACACCCTAACAATCCGATCATGTAATTGAAGATGTGTTTAACATGTTTTAAATAATGTTCAAAACATGTTTAAACTGTTTAAGACATGCTTAACACATAGTTCAACCATCTGGAAATCATTTTGCAACATGCTTCCTCGTCGTCCACAACGCAAGAGTGACCCTGGGTAGGAGTGACCTTTGGTGCGCGGCTGTTTGGGAGGCCGCGGGGGGGTCCAAACACAAGCGCGCAAGACGCTAGTACCGCATCGCGTTCGGCGATCGAGGGACCCCAATTGGCCCGCACCAAAGGTAACTCCAGCGAAGGGTCACTCTTACGAGTAATCCAATCTGGGGAAAGCGGGTCCGGAGGGAAACGGGTCCTGGACCCTGGGGCCTCCGGAGTTGTTTTCGGATAGTCCCGGGGCCTCCAGATGGCCCCGAAAGCCCAAAAACGGTGAAAAACCTCAGGACCCGTTTCCCTCAGGACCCGGTTCCCAATGGCGACACCATTCGGTCCGCATGATGACGCACCGCCAGGTGGAGCCGACACGGCTCCAGACATGGGAGGACCTGGCCCGCCGTTACATCGCCAAAGAGCTTGGCGAGCGCTGCATAGGCCGCACACATGACGAAAATTACGGTGGCGACATTCGGTAAGGAAGCATTGGTAAGGATTACAGGGTCTGGAGAATCGTGGAATTCCAAGCGTGGATTGGCGATGGATGTCACCGCCGCCCTCATCAAATAAGAACACTTCCATGGTTTGAAGTCTGCTGGGCACATTCGGTTAAGAACCCCGCCGCTGGATGCTGATGATGATGATGATGATGATGATGATGATGATGAGAATGACGATGATGATGATGGTGGTGATGATGATGACGATGATGAGGATAGTGATGATGATGTTGCTCATGATGATGGTAATGACGATGATGATGGGGGCGGGAAGGAGGGGGAGGAGGATGGAGGAGGAAGAGCCATGACAACCACGTGAAGTGATCAGGGCCCAGACAGCCACGCAGGAGCCGAAGAGACGGACACCCTTCGCACGACGACGCTGCGACTTCACGCCGACCTCCAACGTTGCAGACCACGCGGGGGCGAGGGCGACTGCGCGCGGTCTGACGCGGGCAGCGTACGCGAGAATGTCTGCGCAGTCCGTCGCCCAACTGCCATCGCGCTTGGAAGAAGGGGGTACTGGGTGTTCGTGTCTCCCCCCTGTCCGAAGCCATTACCTTCGGGGTCCCGATGGTCCGTCAGCCATGCGGTAGCGAACTGCGCAGGTCCGCGCAAAGACTGGCAACTCTGCGCGTCAGCTGAGGCGGGAGGCCGCATTCATAGCACGGTGGGGGATCCGCCAGCGCGCCCCCTGGCACGTTGAGGCGTGTTAGAGAGCTGTCAACTCCAAAGATCCTGAAGGCATCACAACATTGCAGGACACGTGCGCGTAATCACACGACGGGCAGGAACATACCAAGCAATGCCAAGGTTTCTCGAGGTCTTCTGCAATCTTCTGAGTCCCCCCTTCACCACACTCAAACCTCGTGCCCCTCCCCCTGACCCTTCCGCGCATAAAATTGGTCCGCGCCCCCGAGGCCACGACCCCTCTTAAACACTATCCAGGCGAAGGACCCAACCATGAGCAGCTTCGAGTAGCGCGGGGCAGGTGAGGAGGAGGGGGCCAGGAACTGCGGCATCGACTGGGCGAGAAAAGCCGTCGGGCTCGCGGGGGGATGCACTGTTCGGCGCGAGCCCCGTGCGCCGCCAAGTCGTGTCCACTTCCTCCCCAGCTCTTTCGCTCCTCTCCTTGTTTCCAGCGTGCGGCGTTGCGTTCATACCCGGCTGGCCCGCAGCTCTGGGCAAGGCGCGCTGCGGAGTCCCCGCAACGCGCGCTGGCCGTCCCGAAGGAGTCCCAGCGACGCACGCGGGTTGCCCGCGGCACGGAGCAAAGAACACGGGTGGCCGATCACGGGCCAGGCGCTGGGCAGAGCGCGCGGGCGTCGGGCAGCTCCTGGAGCCAGAGCGCGGGGGGAGTCCCCGCGAGCCTATGAGGCCGCGAAGCGCGTGCAAGGTGTGCAGACGTTTGGGCTCCTGATGAGGTCACAAAGCGTGTGAGGGGTGTGCCGCCATGGACATGCGGTGGGCGGGAAGCCACAAGCGAGCTCTGCCACCGGGGTCTTTGGTGGAGCTCCCTATGGAGCCGCCAAACGTGAGGCGTGCCGAATGGACTTGCGGTGGGCGAAAACCGCATGCGAAAACTGCCACTGGAACCTTCGGTGGAGCTCCTTGATGGGGCCACGAAACGTGTGACGGGTGTGCCGAATGTACTTGCGGTGGGCTGGGAGCCGCATGCGACCCCTGCCAATAGAGCCTTGGGTGGGGCTCCGTATGGTGCCACGAAACGCGTGACTGGTGTGCAGAAGTGAACATGCGGTGGGCCGGGATCCGCATGCGAACACTGCCACTAAGGCCTTCGGTGGGGCTCCTGATGGGGCCACGCAACGTGTGAGGGGTGTGCCGACATGAACATGCGGTGGGCGGGGAGCCGTATGCGAGCCCTGCCATTGGGGTCTTCGGTGGAGCTCCCTGAGGGGCCACGAAACATGTGAATGGTGCCAAACTCGACATGCGGTGGGCGGGAAGCTGCATGTGAACCCTGCCTCTGGGGCCTTCGTGGAGCTCCGTATGGGGCCACGAACCGTGCGAGAAGTGTGCCCATAATGGTTGACACGCGGACGGTAGAAGCAGGGAAAGGAGGCGGGACGGGGGAGGAGGGAGGTGAGGTGAACTGAAGACCCGACACCACAGGATGGTTGGGAACTCTGGAGCCGCGCTGCCGAAGTCACGACCCCTGTTAAAAACAACAGTGGGCCCACGCTCCCGAGTTTCCGAGACAACCGAGGCAAGCGAACAACCGAGTTTCCGAGACAGCCGAGGCAAGCGAACAAGGCCGCCAAGACGGCCAAGACGGCCTCAAGACGGCCCAAGAGGCCCCGAAGACGACCCAACAGGGCCGCACGAGGACCCCCAGCCCAGCGGGGGACGAAGTCGCCACCCAAGGTACTGGGCTGGCACGGCGGCGGGCCTCCGCAGGCTGCTGGACAGTGGTCTAGAGCTGTGCGAGAGCTGGGCGTGTTACCCAACAATGTTTGCACCGAGGGATCCGTACTTGGTCCTCACGGCATTGGAATCAGTTGTCAGGAAATCTGGTTCCCGCCCTTGTTCCCGATGGCTGGATCCCGATGATACCCCAGTTGCCGCGACTTCTGTTGCTGGTGCTCTCTGGTTGGTTCCCCATAGCGCCAGTGGACGCGATTGCTGGTTCTCGCCCTGGCGCCGCATGGCGAATGGCTGGTGCGCTAAAGTACCCCAGTTACGAAGCAACATGCGAACCCTACCCCCACCGTTCGCATGTGGCTTCCTACCAATTGTCGCGATGCCTGGCTTCAACCCTTTGTGCAAGGCCGCCCTTTATAGCTGGTCTGGGGGGGTCTAAAACTGCTCGTCTGGAAGCGTTGTGACCCCCTCCCTTGTATTGCAAAATCTGAAGTACTCTGGTTATCGCGATGTCCTGTTCCCGCCGTGGTGCTTGTGCTGTTATGTTATGTCTCTCCCGCCGCGCTCCTGTCCGCGTCGAGTCCGTGCCGAATACATGCCGGACTCGTCGGATGCGTGTCGAATCCGTGTCGAATCCGCGTCAAATCCGCGCCAAACTCGCGTCGATCCAGCATCGAGCCCGCGTCGGTCACAAACAAAGACACCAATGTTGGGGACAGGCGAGGTCCCCCGAAGATGCAAGGTAAATCAAGCACACCGTGGGTGCGAGCAACTACTGCCGGGGGCCTACGCGGGCCATCATAGCTATATGCCCACCTGTTTGGGGGTATGTCTGTGATGTATCCATGTGAGCAGTTGCAGAAGGAGAAGCTGAAGCGTAGGCAAAGAGGAGGGATGAGCTAGGTGGTGCAAACGAACAGAGGATCAAAGGAAAGCAGGAGGACCAGGAGCGGGAGGAGCAACAGCAGCAACAACGGTCCCTTGCTCCACAAGAAAACTGAACCGATCGGCTCGCACACCGCACGTCCGTGCATGGCAAGCTACCGCTGGAGAGCTGGAGCCACAAACGCGGATGCGGCATCGTGTACAAAAAGCACCGGCATTGCGCAGAGCGCATTCGATCGAGGGGGAAGATGGATTAATGAGGTGTCGGAACAGGAGGGTGAGAGGATAATCTCCAATCCCGTGTGCCTCTTCAGGGCGCCAAGAGGCAGCACCGACCAAGCCCTACGGCTTGTCGTGCGGTCTCGGTGGGTGTGAAGCTTTGTCGCTCCTGCCCAATCAAAGCGAAAGAACAACACCATAAATACTCAATTCACTCTTTCGTGCAGTCGCGATCCCGCGATCCCGCGGCTCGCAAATTCGTTTTCTACGCTACCGAAGCATCCTCGATAACATGAGTGGAGCTCTAAGCTGGGGTGTGTGCGGTGCCAAACCCATCCCACGACTGGCAGGAGGGCGTTCCGACCTCCGCGCCGGCAAGGGAAGTGGGGCCGGCGCGGCTGGTCTTTGCACTGCGGAGTCCAGCCGAATCCAAACTCGCAACTACGATCTCAAGGGTCTCATGAATCCACTGGACCTCTTGATGAAGCACAGCGACGTCTAGATTCTTGGCCGCTCCTCGAAGCTTCAGGCAGCCAAACATGAATTCTTCGGGATCGAGGGATCCCGACTGGTCGCGGTCCAGCAGGAGGAAGAGCTTGCCCACCTGATCCGAATCCACGCCCAACTGGCTGAAATAGGCGCCGATCTCAGGATCCTGCATTCGTCTCCGCAGTTCCTCCATAGTAATGCCACCATCTTCGTCGACATCGAGCTCCCAGAAGACCTTTCTCATGGCCTTGAGAAACTCCCTCTTGGCCATGAGCTCGCTCTGCACCACCAGGCTCCGGTCACTTGTGCAGCGCACCGTCGTGCTCTCGATCCGCCGACCCACGCTTGTGAGATTGTTCGCATCCCCCTCCCCCTGTTCCCCTCCCAGGAGGTCCCGAACTCCGTTCGAAAGGAGGGGGGGGGTCCCTACGACCTCGCCAAGGGCCCTTCCGAGCAACTCAGAGGCTCACCATATTGCTCGGGAGAACCTGGACGTTCCTGGAATGGCTCCTGATGGCTCCAAGAACGCCCAAGATTGCCCAATATAGACAACGATGTACTCCACGGTGGCTCCCACCGCAAGACTGGTTCAAGACGGCCCAAAACAGATCCAAGACAGCCTCTCATAGCCCGAATGCTGCACACAGACTCTCACATGAGGCCGAGGGACAAAGGCGGCAAGAAAATTGCACAATCGTCACACGGGCCCCAACAGAGACCAATCCGACCTCAATAATAATTAGAATCGGCACAAGCATCAATTCAGGCACCTCATGACACGGCCCCCTGGCAAATTCGAAACAACATGGTTGGCCGATACTGGTCTATGCATCATCGGTATCCTCATCCCACTCCTCATCCCACCCGAGTGTTCCTCCTTCTTGGGATCGGCGGGATGGGGGAAGCCTCTAGAATGAATACGGCCGTAACTACGTTCAGCAAAGAGAAAAGAGAGAAGCCGATGTAGAGCAGGAACACCCCCCTGTAGCCCCAGTCGAGCACGTCCAAGATCTGCCAGACGTCGTGCCAATCTACTCCGCCAGACATCGCTTGAAATAGCGTGAGCACAGCATGGAACAGGGACCCGAATCGCGCCTGCAGTGCCACCGAAGAGCTTGTGAAGGCGCCCTCCCGGCCATTGTGGACCAAGTAGGCCAACGCTCCTTCGGACAGAACGGTGCCAAAGATGAGGAGAATCGTGAAGATTAGCAGGCTGGACCACAGCAGACCCTTCACCGCACCAGTGAGAGAATGTATCATGATGCGCAACTCCCTGAAGAAAGGATGCTGGCGAATGACCTCCGTCACTTGCACCAGTGACAACACTCTGGCCACACGCAAAGTTGAGAACATTGCAAGGGCAACTCTGAATTGCGAATGAGATCGTTGGTGCCTGTGCGAGTGCAAGCCAATGGTCTGAACCAACTGCGCGATAACAACGACGACATGGAAATACTGCCAACCGCGTCCAGCAGACACAGTGGGTCCAAACTGGCCTGCTGTGCACCTCAAGAGGAAATCGGTGACAAACAGCCCGCAAGAGATGTCCAGCAGCACGGTGAACACCGCAGTGTCGTCGATGCCTGCCTGGCCATGTTGCACGCTAGAGGTCCACCACAGCGCTTTTTCCCGCAGCTGCATATGTCAAATTAGTCATGGAAAAGCCCCCTGGGAGACATGCAGGGTCATGTAGTGTCCTATGGTGTCGCGCAGACACGTGCCATCTTGTACAATAGTATCACATCGCGTGATACCATGCAGTACAGGGTCCTGAAGTGTCATATCGAGACATGCCTTCGCATACAAGGCTTGCATAGTGCAGTATAGTGCGAACATTAGTCATGAACTGTAATACAGGGTCGCGCACTGCCATCCAGTATCGTAGAATGACATACTGCGTCCTCTACCCGCGGTATTCAACCACCAAGGGCACTAGATGCCTAGACCTAACGGGCTCTCTGACTAGAATTGGGGCCCTAGGATGAAACAGAACCTGCGCATGTGTGTAAGTGTGTGTGCGCGTTTGTACGGGCTCGGCTTGACCCATCCTGCTGCTGCCCTCGCTGAATTGAACCAACCAGCCGCGACGCAAAACGGGTGTTTGTTTGTTTGTGTGTGTGTGTGTGTGTGTCATGCCCTGGCTTTTCTTTGCGGTTCTCACACTGTGGGACAGTAACCGCCCCAAGCTTCGGGGCCAACATGCGTGCTGATGCCTGTGCTTCGACGGACATGACATCTCAAACAGCACAATTCGCGGTGCGCCCTTTTCCGATCCCCCTGGGGCGACCCTCCTTGCTCGTTGGGCTGTCCCTCCGCCTGCCCTGACATGGGCCAAGATGTCCTGTACAGTACCCATCGGTCGGAAGAAGTAGGTAGAAACATGAAGTAGGAAGGCTTTGAGAGTAGATTGGGTGTCCGCCCGCCCCCTAAAGAGGGCGGAAGAGGGTGAAGCCGCTCGATCACTGAAGAGGGAAGGCACTCAAAGTAGATCTGTAATCTGGGACTCCAAAACAAACATACTTTCAACGACCGATGGGTAATCGTCGTGCTGCCATGGATAAGCGCCGAGGGAGCTCTTCTGGCCATGGTGACCCTCGGCCACGAGTGACAGTTCCACGACCTAGCCCTAAGGAACGGCCCCGAATCCGGGCCCCCTCCCGAGCCCAAAGCGGTCCTTATCTCAGCGTTTTGACTGCAGGCCGCTTTGCGATGGTCTCCCAGGGCCCCTGGGTGCTGCCGCTCGACTACTTCCGACGTCTGCCCCAAAGCTCTTGCCAACGCCCGCCGTACGGCTCAAGACGGCCTGGTTACCCGAAGGCGGCTCGCCCGAAGCCCGTCAGAAGCCTTCCACAGCCATGCGGAAGGGCATCACGTGCTGGACGCTCCTTTGCGGGTTGGCATTCGGACGCCTTCGTGTCGCCCCAGGCAGCGCCCCAGTGGTCCAGGATGCCCAGAGGCATCCCCAAGACGGCCAACATTTGCCCCAAGAAGGCCCGAGTGGCCCAAGGCTGCACGAAGACGGCCCCGAGGCTCCCAAGGCAGGCCCTGGATCCCTCACGGCTTCAGGGCACCCCCAGGCGGCCCCACACACAGCTCCGAAAGGACCCTCGCCTAAGAAGCATCGCGGCTACTTATCATGCAAGGACACCTCCGTGCCCCGCGCAGCAGCGTTGCCAGGCAGTGCGCCAAACGGGGTGACGGATGTGCGCGGTAGCGCAACTGGATTGCACGCTGAGCCGCGCACTGCATCTCCCAGACAACGAGCACGGCATCCAAGACCATCATCATGACCCGGGCGAGCTCGTAGCCAGGACGCCTCACCAACTTCGAGACGCCCTCCGTCAACTTTTTCGCTGAACTGCAAGCACGGAGCTTGCCACTTGGCAAACACTCCGCCAGCCAGACCTTACTCCAAGAATGGCGCCCTGTCGGCAAAAGGGTGTGCATCCAAGTCGTGTTCTCCTCCCTGAGAAAAGTGCCCCGGACGTTCTTCACCTTCTGCATCGCGGCCATCGCCTCGTTGGACCTGCTGCTCGCCAGGCTGCACTGCTCCGCGAAGGCGCGCTTGGGAGAAGCGCGGCGCCCCAGCAGCACAGATCGGACGGGCGAAGACGGCTGGCCCGGGACCTCCTCTGGGGAGTCTGGCCCCGAGCCGCGTGACTCCCCGGCCGTGGGCGGGGGCTCCCTCCAGAGCTCCCCGTGCCTGTCGAAGACCGCTTCCACGTCGAGCCTCAGGCTCTCCAGCGCCTGGCGCACGCACGCCGCGTCGGCGGCCGCGGCCGGCCGAGCTCTGCAGCTGCCGCCACCCACGTCGTGCCAGCCGAGAGAGCGCCATCGCATTGGCGATGCTGCTGATGCTGCTGAGCTCATGGCGTTGCCCGTGCCCTTGCGTGGGCGCAGGAGAATCGGCGGCCAGCCCGGGGGGGGAAATGAGAGAGGCCGGGCTGTCTCAGAAGGCTCGGAAGCTCCCCCCGCCTTCTCACAACTGTTCTAGACTTCTCTGCAGACACGGCACACTTTTCAGAAGGCCTGAGGGCTTCTGAGGAGCCACGCCGCCTTGAAAGAGGGCCTCCTCCTCCTCACTTCCCCCCTCGCTCGCCGCCGAAAGAACGAGGGGAAGCTTGATATACACATTAGCTATGACGCCCCCCCATCGGCGCTCGCGCTGCATACGGTTCCGGCCCTGATGGGGCAGGCATGCCCCCCGACGTGCCGCCGATGTCGTGCGAGACGAGATCTCGTCAGGCAAGTGGAGCGGCGGGCTGCCATTTTGCCGAGGCTGGCACAGAGGAGCCCCGACGGGCCCCGACCACCACGTGAGCGCTTTTTGATTCGGCAATTTGACAGTGGGCGGAGGGGGGGGGCGGGAGGGGGGGGTCTGGCTCCGGACATCTGCTCAATGCGACTGTTTGTTGCATGGGGGAGGCCCCACCTGCTCGAAACAGGCGCTAAAAAACAGGCAGGATCCACTCCAAGGGGGGCAGGGGGGGGGGGGTGCGAGGGCCCGCGCCGACCAGCCATGGGGTGCGGGCCCCTCTCCCCTGGGAGACCGGAGAGCCGGCCTTCCGTCCCACGCTCCCGCCGTGGCCGCCGGCGTGCGCGACGCCGTAGTTCGACCATGGCCCTCCTGAGGGTGGCAACTGGTGCAGATCAAGATGGGTCGCCTCCTCCTCCTCGTCCTCCTACTCCTGCTCGTTCTCCTCCTCTTCCTCCTCCTCCTCCTCTTCCTCCGCCTGCGGCGGCTCCCAGGATGTCAGGACCCAGGATGTCAGGATGTCGCTGGACTAGTATATACAAATCAACATGGGTCGGTCGTCGCGGGTGCTCTTACCTCATCGCCGTGAACAAATGAAACCGCATGTCGCTTACTGATCTGCGTGGCGGGCCGCGCATGCCGTTGTGACCAGGGCTTGCCCTGCCCCTCAATTGCACGACGCCCAGACGTAGGACACTCAGCAGGTTCCAGACATTCCAATCTCACCCTTCGTGATGCGCTGCTTTATCTTCGCGGCGTGGCACAGCCCCCTGGAGAAATCTCTTGGCCCAGACTGCGAAGACACGTTATCAATCGGTTGTGGTTGCGCCTACGCTAGAAGTTTTGGCATTGATATCGCCCCCCCCTTCCTTGCCCTGGATTTCCCCTTGCTCCAGGACCCAAGAGACCCACAAGATGCTCCCTACTTATCAAGGTTCGCCTGCACTGTCTGGATATATTGCTTTCGAATATAGTCTGGTTCCCCGTTTGCATGCCCGCTGGAACTCGATCGAATCGAATCGAGGGTATTGCGCTGTGGCTTGCGGTGACTTCCTGGGAAGGCCTGCTGGGACGATGCAGTCGCTCTGCACTGGCGCGAGAAGTGGAGGAGCCCAAGCATTACAAGAAACTGCTCGTTCTTGCACTCTCCGCGCGCATCCCAAACAGAAGTTTCTTGCACTCTCCATGTGCACTTAGACCACGCAAACATCACGCGCATTCATAACGAGGAAGCGTCGTCTCTAGGCAGGTGGCAGCCCACGGAACTCCAGGCGAACTAGCGCAGCCTTCTCCTCCGACGCCACCTCGATTTCGTGCCAAGCTGCACGAGTGTGGAACCAACGGGCTAAGGGCTCATGTTATCAAGCCAACGTTCTCATGGATAGAGCGAACGACCAGACAAATGCAGCGGTGATGCACGCCCTGCAAGTGCACCTGTGGCAACTGTTCTTCCTCCTCCTCCTCCTCCTCCCCCTGCTCCTCCCTCCTACCTCCTCTTCCTCTCCCCTCATCCTTCTCCTCCTCCTCCTTTTCTCCTCCTGTCCTTCTCCCTCTCCTTCTACACCTCCTAATCCCCATGTCCTCCTCCTCCTCCTCCTCCTTCTGTGAGTGATCCTCCTCCCTACTCTATCCTCTTCCTTCTCCTCGTCCTCTTCCTCCCCCTTCTCCTCCTCCTCCTCCTCCTCCTCCTCCTTCTCCTCTCCTCCTCCTCCTCCCCCTCCCCCTCCCTCCCCCTCCCCACCATCATCACCACCATCGCCATCATTATCATCATCAGCAGCAGCAGCAGCAGCAGCATCATCATCATCATCATCATCATCATCATCATCATCATCATCATCATCATCATCATCAGCATCAGCACCAGCATCATCAGCATCATCAGCATCATCATCATCATCATCATCATCATCATCATCAGTATCATCATCATCAGCATCACCATCATCATCATCATCAACAACAGCATCATCATCATCAGCAGCAGCATCAGCATCATCATCATCATCATCATCATCATCATCATCATCACCTCATCCTCATCCTCATCCTCATCCTCATCCTCATCCTCCTCATCATCATCATCATCATCATCATCATCATCATCATCATCTTCGTCATCTTCATCAGCAGTAGCATAATCATCACCAGCATCATGATCACCATCGGCGCCATCGTCGCCACCTTCATCATCATCATCATCATCAGCATCATTATCAGCATCATCATCATCATCATCAGAATCATCATCATGACCATCATCAGCATCAACATCAGCATCATCACCAACGTCCTCATCAGCATAATCATAATCACCAGCATCATCACTATCACCATCACCATCACCATCATTATAATCATTATCATCATTAGCATTGTCGTCATCATCATCGTCGTCAGTATCCGCATCATCATCATCATCATCATCATCATCATCATCATCATCATCATCATCATCACCAGCATCATTAGCATCATTTACCATTCGCATCGCAATCATCATCATCATCAGCATGATCAGCATGCTCCCCATCATCATCAGCATCTGCATCATCATCAGCAGTATCATCAGCATCATCATCATCATCATCGTCGTCATGATCATGATTATCATCAGCATCAGCATCGCCACCAACATCATCATCATCATCATCATCATCATCATCATCATCATCATCATCACCACCACGATCAGTACACACATCCTCAGCAGCACCAGCATCAGCACCACCATCATCATCAACATCATCAGCATCCTAGTCACCATCAGCATCATCATCTAAGATGTCACCATTATCGTAATCATCATCATGAATCTAACCATCATCCGCATCATCCTCATCCTCATCCTCATCCTCATCCTCATCCTCATCCTCATCATCATCATCATCATCATCATCATTATCACAATCAGCATCACCATCACCATCGTCATCACCAGGATCACCACCACAACCATCATCATACTCATCATCATCATCAGCACCATCGCCAACTGCAGCATCATCAGCATCAGCATCGAATCATCATCATTATCAGAATCATCATCATCATCATCATCATCATCATCACCATGATCAGCATCACCACCATCATCATCATCATCAGCAGCATCATCAGTATCAGCAGCATTATTATTGATATGATTCTGAGTATCGCCAGCATCATAAGCAGGTGCAGCAGTCGCATCAACAACATCAACAAGAACAGTAATATCCCTCTCTGCCACATCCTTGTACCGACATACTACTCGTCCCTCATCATCCATCCTTCCCTCCCCCTCCTCCTCCACTCCTTCTCCTCCTCCTCCCTCCCCCACCCCCCTCCTACTTATCTTCCTTCTCCTACCTCCTACCTCCTCCTTCATCCTTCCTCATCCCACCCTCCTTCCACGAACTCAGCGCGTCCAACTCCCTGCCACCCACAGGTGGCTTGTGCGCGCGCTTGGGGCGCTCGTCGCGCGGATCCGCGCTAGAGCCCGGCGGATGGGCGAGGCCATCGAGGAGTGCTCCTTTGTTGGAGTAGTAGTCCATCGGGTACACGTCCTTGTATGCCAGGTCGCCGAAGGCCACGTGCGCCTGGCGGCTCGCTAACAGGGTGTATTTAGGAGGAGCAGGCGGACGGCGAACGTAGGAGAAAAGGAGGTGGAAGAGGAGGAGGAGGAGGAGAAAACTTCTTCCTGCCAGCCTGCCCTCCTCCGTCGGGAGCTAATTAATGGAGGAAAGAGTAACGATGGGCATGGCGACCCCAATCCCCGACCTTTTGGGGTTTTCGACTGGACCAGAAATTTGGGGCGCAACTCACGGATGCACGAGTGGGGGCGCAGCTGTGCGTCCGAATGGCCCCCTGGGGGTGTATCTCAGCGCCCCCCCCTTCTCTCAACGGCCAACCTTTCGGGCGGAACTCGGGGGCGTGGGTCGGATACGCCATACGCCTGCTCCCTTCCCGCTGCCGGGGGGAGAGAGTGGGAGGGAAAATGGGAGGAGGAAGCGGGAGAGTGCGAGGGAGAATGGGAGGGAAATTGGAATGGGGGAATGGGAGGTATAATGGGAGGGGCCATGGAAAAGCATGGGAGGTAGAATGGGAATGCTGTCTTCCCATTGTTGAGAGCCAACAAGGCCTGGACTTAACTCGAGATCACCGCCGGGCCAGCCACCGTGGCGACTCGTCGCCCCGGCCTGGACAACACGAACGGGACAAAGAGCACGACGAGGGCAACGGCGAGGACGAAGAGGACGAGGACGAGACGAGGAGGAGGAGGGACAAGGAGGGGGTGGAACAACGAGGAAAAGGGGGGAGGAACAAGGAGGAGGACGAGGAGAGGCGAGGACGAGGAGGAGGAGGAGGACGAGTAGGATGAACGTGGAGCAGGAGGAGGAGGAGGACGAGGAGAAGGCGGAGAACGAGGACGATGAGGACGAGGAGAGGAGGAGGAGGAGGACGAGGAGGAGCACGAGGAGGAGGAGGAGGAGGAGGAAGAGGAGGACGACGAGAAAGAGGAGGAGGAGGAGGAGGAGGGAGAGGAGGACGAGGACGAGAAGGACGGATACGAGGAGGAGGAGGAGGAGAAACAAAGAGGAGGAGGAGAAGAGGAGCACGAGGAGGAGGAGGAAGAGGAGGAGGACGACGAGAAAGAGGAGGAGGGAGAGGAGGACGAGGACGCGAAGGACGGAGACGAGGAGGAGGAGGAGGAGGAGAAACAAAGAGGTGGAGGAGGAGGAGGAGGAGGAGAAGGAATAGGAATATGAATAACCCTGGGGCGCCGCACCGTCTACCCCACCTGCAGGGAACAGGGCGCCTAGGTTCTACTACTGTAGGCCGAAAGGGCCACCTGCGCGCTGACCAGCGCCGCGAGGGGCTGGCACGGTCCCAATGGCGTACCCAATGGCGCGCAGCTAAGCGGCTGCCACCGTCAGCGCCGTCCTCAACGAAGCTCTTGCCTGAGTGACGCACGAACGGAGACAAAGGGCGAAGCATGCCACCACAAGGCGATGTGCCCCCCCTCCAAGGACAAGGAAAGGATGCCTCAAGATGCACACTCAAGCCAGAGGAGCCAGAGGCCCACTCCTGCCTCGAGCGGCGCCTCGAGCAGCACCCCTTCCACGCCCCCTGGTTCCTCTGCCGCGGCTGGCTGAAGATCGAACATCAAGTACAACAGCAGGCCCCATGTCTGGGGCATTCTCGATCGTGTACATCTGAGAAGGGGAGTAAGGAGGGGGCGCCAGGCCAGGAGGGGTTGCGGGGATAGATCGAGGCACAAGAAAGACGGGGGCATTCGGCGGAGCCTGGCCCAGGACACGAAGAGCCGCATCCTCGGTGAGATGGCCCGCCCGCAAAAGAGCCAGAGCGCGATCGCTCCGACTCCACTCGAAACCTGCAACAGGCGAGCTCCGATAACTTCCCACTTCACGACGTCCAGAGGCCGCTGGGCCCCCCGAGACAGCGCGCCCCTGAGGGCTCCGCGGCCCTCGGCCAGCAAGGTCGCCCTGATCGCCTTCAGGATGCCGGGCGTCTCCCCCGCGAGCAGGAACTGCACCTTGACCGCGTTGCCCTCCCCCCCCCCTGGTGCGACTTACCCTTGATGCGCTTCGCCCTGCAGTGGCGGATGGTGCCCGACAGCTTCTCTGGAGTCCCAACCTTGGTCGCGACGTTTCCCCAGCACTTGGCTGCAAGGATCCCCTCCTCGGAGAGCGCCGCGTCGCCCTCTGGCATCGTCGCCGCCCCCTGCGCCATCGCAGTGAACGCGCGAAGGTAAGGCGCGCATAACTTCTTCTTCTGGTAAGCGCCGTCCTGCTTCTCTTTCCCTCTCTCCGACTGCGCCTCCGAGTTGAAGGCTTGGTTCTCCTCGAGCATCGGCTGGGCAGTCGGCGACTCGATCAGGCGCAGCCAAGTGTCGTGCTCCGCGCCGATGAGCGCCCTGAGCTCCACCTCGTCGCTTAGCGCCAGCTTGACGAGCACCGCGGCGAGCCCGCCGAGACTTTGCTTGTCGTTTCCTCCTTTGGCAGACTCGCGGCCAGCGCCGCCCCCCCTCCGTCTCCTGCGCGCCGATGTTGGCCTGCTTGGAAGGCGGCGCCTTCTCTGACTTCTTGGCCATCCAGGCCGGGCGCGCCAGGGGCGTCATCAAACGAGACTTGTCCGCCTCCAGCGGACTTGTACCAGCGTCGATGCCAGTCATGCACACGCAATGCTCGACGAACAAGAATACGGACATGTAGTTGGAAACTTCTAGACCAGACCCGTGGCATTCACGTTGTAAACATTGTGGGTCACTAGGTTCATGCAAAGGTTCTCGGGCACGCCCCCCGCCCGAATGACAACCGCCTCGATTCGTGGGCCCCGCCAGGTGCCAGCCTGCCGTGGTAGTAGTGGAGAAGAGCTCCAGGCACTTCGGGCACTGGATCGTTTTGCACGGTGCGTGCCCGAGCAGACGGATCCTACGGCGTAGCCTCACGCAGCCCAGGGCAGCTTTCAGCGGGTAGAACTTCGCCACAAACATTGCAAAACCCATCGCCCGACTTCGCGCAGACCCCACATGCCAATTCAATCCCGCCCTCCATGTTGTTTGCCTCTTCCTCCGTAGCTGTAACGAGGTTATTTGGAACGTGCACTGGCGGGGGTAAAGCGACCGCGTGGCGTCGTCGTTTGAAATGCGAGAAATCGGTGTTCCGGGAGCCCTGCCTAAATCCTCGCCCCACCTGAGTTCAAGAAAGGAGCCTCGCAAGCGGGCGAGCAACTCCTCGCCTTCTCCCAACGCGCTCGGACTTTCCAAGTCTGCGTTCGTTAAAAAAAACGAGCCCAAGGGTTGGCATGGGCCGTGACACGCATCATGCAGTCATACCGCGGCCGCTGGTCGGTAGGTAGCTCCGCAAAAAATGCCGCGACGATCTGCGCGCGGCGAAGCGGGCAGCGCACAATCTGCGCCAGCCAGTTCCAGCGCCTAACTAGCAGCTCCAAGAAAGTAGGGTTGAACATCCAATCCTCAAAAGCCTCGTCGTTCGATCAAACGCGAATTTGAGATCCTCCTTCCCAGGAGGCCCCACCATTTACGGCAACTCTACGATTTGACAAAACCAGCACCGACGCGTTTACATGTCCCTCGGCATCCAGAAAAAAATTCGAGGTTCTGAAGCGCATCATTTTGCATTCCCAGAAATTCCGAGAGGCGAAGGCGAAGAGCAACATCCTTGATCGGCCAAAACTTGCCCAAAGAATGGAACCCAACCTGAAGCGCCGAAATACGGTTTGAAACCTCGACCGGAATCGCCCCGGCAGCGTGGATCTGGCCACCCGGGGCCCTCATGCGAGGGGGGGGGCCCTCCGTCAGAAAACTTCTCGCTGTCGATGCGTACTAAGCGATTGGCAGCAGCGGCGCCTCGGCCAACGCATGGGGCGATCGCGTTCTGCGCAGCGCGATTCTGAACCCACCCTCCTGCAGCCAAGGCGAAATCCAATAACCGATCGGAGTGCTGATTCGCAGCGCGCAAAAAAATCGACGGCAGCGTCTTCTCTAGAAGATGCCGCTCCTCCTCCGATGCGCAGCTCGGTGAGATCGTCGGCAGACTTTACCAAACTGAGATCTACCTCGCCCAAACTGGCAATAGGACGCTCTGCGCGTAGGTATTCTTCAGAATCAAGAGTCTTTCGAAGTTGTCCACTCCATGCGTCCACTCGATGCCCGTAGGCTCTGCCGAAGCTTTCGACTGCGCACGGGCCCCCCATAAGAGCTCCATATGTAGGGCGCACCTCAAGTTTGCGATCTCGAATCGGAAGAACGCTCGTTGCGGCTCTGAACCTATCCATGCCGAACACCTGGTCTTCGAAGTCCAGGAAACCCGAAGTGGCCTTCTCCAAGAGTCTCCAAGAAGTCGAAAGAAACGCATTGCTGCGGTCCCTGTTGGCCCACAGCATACTTTTTCAGCCTAGCCGAAGCCGGAGAGACATTATCTGGATAACCATCATGGCGCCCTCCTTCCTCCCTCTCGAGAAAGGGCAGTCGCAAGCTCCCAGGGGTTGTGGTTTGCGCCTCCTCATAGCTCCCGAGCCATGCCTTTCCCAGAGGATCAAGCAAATGAGTAACACGTCTGCCTTCCGGACCAGCCACGCTGCTGTTCGCCCAAGCGCACCCGACACTATGGTTCCACGATCGAGGAAAACGCCCACCAAACCTAACGCACATGAGTCCACGCTCGAGAAACACCTGCCGCAAGGACGCGTCAAGAGAGAACTCGGCGCCGAGGCCGTACCTGCACTGCCTAAAACAGGACTGCGAGTTCGTGGTCATGCCCCATATCTGTGCAGGAACAGACCAGCGTGGGCATACACGTCGTTTGGGCGCATGTTTGAGAGATCCAGCAAGAACCTAGAACCCATATAAATTGTTGCTTCCATTGAAAAAAACCCTTGGTCGACCTCTTTCCTCTCCTCCTGTCGGCACTCGTCCTCCATCGCCTCCTCCTCCTCCATGCCACCCCGGGGACCAGGGGAGTCCATACAGACATCCCCTCCTCAGCAGAAAAAGCATCGCCGTGCAGATGCCGAAGATTCCTGCCCCCAGGGGCCTTCCCGCGGCAAGCGAGCAATCGAATGAGCCTGTGCGACTCTTTCAAATTTCTGACCCCCCAGGCCTCGTCGAGTTCTTCCGTGACCTCCCGCCTCCACCTCCTATGCTGCCTCCCACACTCCGTGGCGCATTCCTTAGGGCCTCCTTGGCCTCCTCCTCCTCCTCCTCCTCCTCCTCCTCCTCGTCCGCGTCGCAACTAGCCTGCGAGAGTTGGAGGCGCAACCGCAGGCGACGGTCGAGGAGAACGCGTCGCTCGGCGGCCTGCTGTTGATATATGAATATAAACATATATCTGAACAACTCGCAAGCGACCCGCTGAAAAGACTAGCTGCGGTGTCCTTCGGCGCTGCGTTGAAAACCTCAAAGTGCAGATCTGGCTGGCCTCGCTCGAGAGCATCCTCGAGATCTCCTGAATGTTCCAGGAGTTTGGCTGTGGCCCTCTCGAAAAAACCTGCGGACCCTCGGGCGGTATCACGGCCCCGAAATTCCAAAACATACAATCAACTTAATCATCAGGAGGAGTTCGGAAACCCCACCGGGAATTACATTGCAACGGAACGTGGTCCCTGGGATATCTACCGGGAATGAATTCGCGTTTTGTTCATCATGTTCATCCAGCAAGCCGGAGGAAGTAATCGACCCTAATTGACTGCGCATCGTGCCCGTACCAAGCCGGCACCACCTTATTTCGCAGCCCTAAAAACACATACCCGTACTTCTCCATAAGCTTCCTGAATTGCCCCCCGACTCCTCCCACCATCATATCCTTCGTGTTGAGACACTCCGTCACAACGCTCGCGCTGGTATACCCCCATCCCTCCCCCTTCATCGCGACACCGGTCCCGTCGTTCAAATCCATACGAGACATTGGCAGCACACGGGAATGGTGGGCACGTTCAAAACAAATAAAGCGTTGCAAGCTGACCAGACTGTCCACCTTCGCTCTGTAGTCCGGGCGGCTGGCTAACCCGCGGGGCACTGGGGAAACTAAAAGCCAATCACCGCCATGTCGAGCTCCGCGCGCTTGACTCTAATACCGAGACCGCGTCCGCCCAGTGCGGGAGGAGGAAGCCACTGCTTGACAATGAGACTCTCTCGCAGCCTGCATCTGAACGTCATGGCGATCCCTGCCGACTTGTTGGTGTAGGGCCCTCTCCCATACCCCGCCTCCAGCAACATAACCCCGTGCACTCTCTTCTTGCACAGAGGTGAGTCCCTTGCTGCACGAGCTTGAGTACCCACGAACACCGACACATGCAAGGTTTTGGTCGTCGTCGTGATCACTTCCTCCTGGCGAACCTGGTTGTTGAAACCCAAGGGATCCCAATGCTATCATCGAATAGCTGACTTGAGGGCGGCCGCGCACGGCAGCCAAACATAATGACAAAAACGAGCGTTACAATAAACGGAGCGTGAGCAGGAGGAGGAGCAGGAGGGGGAGAAGGGGAGAGGAAGAGGAGGGGAGAATCAAGGAGGTGGAGGAGGAGGAGGAGGAGGAGGAGGAGGAACTCCTGCGCCGCGGCGCCCTTGCGCGCCCCGGAATCCTCGCCGTGCTCCCCCCCCCCCCCGCGCCGCCGCGCCCCCGACTGCGTAGACGGGCGGCTGCGCCGTGACGACCGACGTCGGCTCTGGAGCGCATTTTGTCATGCACGGCCATATGGGGCGCTCTGGGCGGTGGGCTCTCGACAGCGAGAAACCGCTTGGCTCCGCCAAAGCGCCATTTCGCTCGAGCTCTGGGAGAACGTTCAGGGGGATCCGCTCAGGAGGGATGGGCATCACGCATCACTGACCTGAAATCGGCGATACTAAACAAGCGCGTTCCGCTGATCGCAAAGTATCTACTCGCAAATGGCCTGGATCCGCCATGGGAGATTTGCGATACATTGCATCGAGGCAGGCATGAGTTTTTCGGACGTTTGCAAGTAGACACTTTGCGAGTAGTGGAACGCGCTCGGTGAGATACGCCACTGAGAGATCGGCGGTGGGTTCTCGACGGCGAAACCGCACAGGGGTCCTGGGCGGGGGTGGGCTATCGGGCCCACCTCGGCGACCGATGGGCGATATGGAAGGTGCCCCAGGCCTCCTCGCACCGTGAAAAAATACAACGAGAGCTTCGGGCAGGCTTTGGCTTCTCGGTGGAGCGCATGATTAGATTTTTATTCGCGGCCATAACTTGCGCTATGGGGGGGAGGGGGGGACATAACGCAGCATTCCCCCCCCCTCGCCAGGCTGTGGTGCGGGACCCACTGCGGCAGCGCCGGGGTCGCACTGAGGGGGGGAAGCGCTGCGTTAATGGGAGGGGGAGAGCGGGGAGGGTTAGGGTGCATAACGCGCGTTAAGGTCCAGAGGGTAAAAGTACCTTCTCCTAGTCTCTCACGCCGACGCTCAATCTTGAACCACCTCCGCTGCCAAGGAGACCCCAGAGGCTCTAGACCTTGAGCATCGATTCGCCGATCCCTATCCACACGGGAGTGGCCTGGGCGACGACGACGACGACGACGACGACCGCGACGACGATGACGACGACGACGACGACGACGACGACGACGACGACGACGACGACGACCGCGACGACCACGACAACGAGGCCAATTACGACGACGACGGGACAACGATGACAACTACGAGGACGACGGCGGCCCATGAGGTCTGCGCAGGTCTTATCCATCGGCCAGAGGAGGTTGGTGGAAAAATGAAGGAAGGCGTTCAGAATAGATTGGGTTCCGTCCGCCGCCTAAGGAGGACGGAAAAGGTGAAGCCACTCGATCACTGAAGTAGGACGGCGCTTAAAGCAGATTGGAATCTGGGACTCCCGAAAACACATCCTTTCAACGTGCCGAGGGGTAGAGGTCCCCGGAGGTATCCTGACGACAAAAGGAGGCAAGGAGGAGGAGGAGGAGGAGGAGGAGGAGGAGGGGGAGGGGTAGGGGAGGCGACGAGAAGCCTCCCGTAGGCTCGAAAGGCAAGCAACCATTTTTGTTTGTGTTGCCGCAACTGTCTCGACTGGCCCTCCGCCGATACCCGCAGCCGTCCAGGGACCTGCCCTGGAAGCGCGACCCTGCACCCGGCAGCGGCGGCGGTCCTCGTAGGGGGTCAGCAGCGGCGACGAGTACGCCTCGCCCCAGTCCAGGGAGAGCCGCGGGCAGGCGACCTGGGCGCCCGCCGCAGGGCCGCGGCGACGCGCGCGCGCGTGGCCTCCCCCAGGGCCCCTTGGCGTCGTGGGCAAAGTCACGGCGGAGGGCGTCCTGCCGACTTCGGCGTTGGCTCCTGACACCGCGGGGACCGTTCAACCTTGAACGATCCGCAATCTCTGGGAATTCCGATCCTTCGACCTCGACCGATTCTGGGTCGCTGGCGGCCTTCCACGTTGAACGCCAGCGGCGGGGTCGCTGCCGGTCGACACGACTCGAACCTGTTGTATTCTTGTTGGCTTCAAGGGGGCCCTTTGCCTGCCCTTTCCTCCTCCTCCTCCTCCTCCTCCTCCTCCTCCTCCTCCTCCTCCCGGGCCTCGGGACCGTCAACAGACTCGGGTGACCACGCCGCGCGATACGTCAAGCGGGGGCTCGGGGGCCACCGCCCGGTTTCGGGGCACGGGCCCTTCTCCGAGGGCGTCTCGGGCGACGGGGCCTCCCGAGGTCCCGGGACCGTGCGGTGACGGACCGTGCAATGAGGTCCGTTTGGGTTTCGAGGACACCGCAAGGTCCGTCACCACACGGGCTACGGGACCCCTGAAAAACGACTGAGGATGACAAGCTGGTCTCCGGGAAGGGGCTCAAACCTCTGGGGGCCCAGGTGATGGAAAACATGAGAAGTATCGGATCTGGGCCTCTCGAAAGGACGCCAGCCATCCAGCCACACGGATCGTGGATCCTGGGCCGCCACCCTGGTCACAGGATCTGCAGCCGAAATTATCATCAAGAAAAATAAAGTTAAGACATCTGAGCCAGCTTTCCGAAGTGTCTTATAACGAACCTGGGCCACCTTATCTGTTCACGCCCGAAGGGCGCACGTGCTCAAGAGACCGGGCCAGCTCTCCAGCAGGCTGGTCAATAAACGCTGCGCGATACGGATGACAAGGGCCTTGGGAGGCCGTTTCGGAGCTCTCCGAGCGGGGCGCGGCCAACGAGTGGCCAGGGATGGACCGAGGAGGCAGGGACGCAAGGTTACCCTTGGGAAGGTTACCCATCCTTCTATGCGGGTTGACTGCGTAACCGACTTTCATGCGCAGCCGAAGGGGGCCCGCCTGCACCCAGGCGCCCACGCCGCGGAAGAGGCCCCTGCACCGGCGGGCGCGGGCGCGGAGCAAGAGCAGGAGCAGGAGGAGGAGGAGGAGCGAAACGGAGGAGGAGGAGGAGGAGGAGGAGGAGGAGGAGGAGGAGGACGACGAAGAGGACGACGAAGAGGACGACGAAGAGGAGGACGAGGAGGAGGAGGAGAATCGAGGAGGGAGAGGAGGAGGAGAGGA